CGCTCCTCCTCGAAAGGTACAGCTTCTTCGGATCTCTTTGAATATCAATTCCCCCCCCCCCCCCTTTCCAACCATTATCCCCCGTAACCTCTCTTTCTCTCTCTGTCTCTGCTCTGCTGCCTGTTACTTATCTCTCTCTCTCTCTCTCTCTCTCCTCTCTCTCTCTCTCTCCTCTCTCTCTCTCTCTCTCTCTCTCGTCTCCCTGCCCTCCCTCGTCCTTTCTTCCCTCGCTCAGCATCCCGCAATTAGAAAACCGCCAATAGAGATAAACATCTTCGCAGGGAGGCCATAACCGTCGCCTTTGTGTGGCCATTATTCACCTCTAACGTAATATTTCGCGGTTGCCTCAGCTGTAGTTTGTAGTTCCTCGGGCCTCCGCTCCTCCTCGAAAGGTACAGCGTCTTCGGATCTCGTTGAATATCAATTCCCCCCCCCCGCCCTTTCCAACCATTATCCCACCGTAACCTCTCTGTTACTCTCTCGGTCTCTGCTCTGGGCTGCCTGTTACTTATCTCTCTCTCTCTCTCTCTCTCGTCTCTCTCTCTCTCTCTCTCTCTCTCTCTCTCTCTCTCTCTCTCTCTCTCGTAAAGATGTTATTGTAAAGATGTACGGAGGTATTTGAGGTATTTGAATGTTAAGTTTCGGTGAGAGTAATGGAATAATTGTGTTTGGTTGATACGTTTTTTTTTATTTTCATTTTTAGTGGATGGTGATGGTGGTCGTTACGAAAGTGATAATGATAGAGGGGGATATTTGATCGTACTTTGAGGATATTAATGGTATTGTGGGGTAAGGTCAGTGTTTAGTGATAGGGATATTTATGACCGGTAAATTGCGATCATGAAGGTATTGTTAATGATTATATAACATGTCTTGTGTCTCCTTTGCGATGGATCAAAATGGCTTGCGCGATCACTCTTTAACCCCATGATAATAATAATTTACAAAACGATGTAAATACGTAATTATTGAAAATGTAAAGGTAAACTAAATAAGTCGAAAGTAATCAGACGACCATAAGCCAGAGAGCCTTTGAACATTTCTTAGAGTATAAGCTAGACACATAGAAACAGAAGTATAAACAGAGAAAGAAACAGAGATAGCTTTTTCCTATCCATTTTTCTTGCAGGATATCCCTAGTCCTATCCAAGTGAAAATCATGTTACTTCACGGTTGTTACTTTATGTTTATTTCACAAAACGAATAAAGAACCATAAACTATTAACCTTTAAGAATGTATCAGAATACTACAATGACAGTGCTATAATAACAACAAAGATAACACGTAAACTAAAAAGAACACCTATAGTGATCACAGTCACAATGCTATCAGAACTGCACATGCAACCCACCCCTTCAGGACAGGCAGGGAAGTACGGCTCCTGCAACTTAGAAAAAGCACACACACACACACACACACACACACACACACACACACACACACACACACACACACACACACACACACACACACACACACACACACACACACACTCCTCCCTGTAACGCGGAGTAACCAGCAAAAATTATCTGTAATTATCCCATAACGAAAGGGCGGCCACGAGACATGATGAGCCTGGGAGGGGGGGGGGGAGGAGGGGAAGAGGAGGAGGAGGGGGCGTTGAGAGGGGAGGATGATATTGGGGTAATGGGAGAGAGAGAGAGAGAGAGA